CTTCCCAGACACCCACTACGCATCGTATGGACCGTTTCTTTCTGGTCTTCACTCTGTGTGCTCTGAACAGCGTTATCATTCCCAGTCTCCCTGTGGCATTTCTGCATCCTTGCTGTCTGGTCCCACTTCAGATTCCTTAGCTTTCCCCTCGGTTCAGCTAATCTGGTTCTCAGTCCACTGACAGGTTTTCGTAATGACCGTCATGTTGTGTTTCTAGAAGCTCTGCATGAATGCCCAGTGTCCTTTGTTTCTAGTGCCTTATTTTTCTCATGTTTTGATTTCTTTCATTCTTGTGGCAGTTTTAGACATAGCTTCCATAATCTTTATCGAGTTACTACATTTTATTCAATTTTTGCAATTTTACGTTTAATTGTCTGGACTTTCTGCTGACTCTCACTTGAGGGATTTTCTCTTTACAGCTAGTAGTGTGGGATGGTCAGGGTGCCGTGAAGTGGGAGTCCAGACAGTTTTGTGAGGCGTTTTAGGGGCATGGATTCCTGGGTAATGCTTGTAACGCAGATCTGAACTACAGATTTGAGGGAGGGGGGCCCTCTGATAATGAAATCGAGGCTTTTGTTCTCTTCCTTGTAGCTGTTAAATCTGACTCTCCCAGATCACGAGGACTGGGCCTGCCCTTGGCCAGTGCCTGCATGCTTGTCTTTTAGTTTCCCTGTAAATGTTCGTGGTGATTGTGATAGCGAAGTGGAAGAAAATCAGATGAGCAGGGCAGGGTGGGCTGCGGTGGATGACTGCTGTCTCCGTGGACCGGGCGGTGAGCACACAGGGCCGACCCCACGCCATTTACCGTGTGGCTGGTTGTTCCCAGGGGGCTTCCTCCCATCTCTCCTTCCTGTGCTCCGTGTCTGTCTCCTGAAGTGATGGCTGTGGCAGGCAGTTATTTTGGAATTAATTCAGTAGACGCTCTTATTAAAAAGGAGCACTTTTTTGTTTTCAAACTTCTTTAGTGCTGTGTTAATAATGTTCCCGATTCTCAAAGTGCATTTCCCCTATATTTTCTTACTCTGATGTTTTGGATGACAGACTGGGCCACGTAGTGCAAGCAGCTGTGATTGTAATATACAGCCATCTTTGTCCTACTTAGTGCCTGCCAAGCCTCCTTGCTCTTCTCTTCCCTTCTTCCTTCTTCCTCTGCAGGAAGCTGCTCTAAAAATAGCTCTCGCACTAGATGCTGCACGCACGGTCAGATTGCTGAATCATTTAGTTCTGTGCTGAAGTTCAGAGGGACAGGAGACAGTGTCCACACAGTAGAATAAGCGTGCTTCTCAGATGGCAACTCGTTGTTCTTCTGAAAGACAGAGAATTATAATCTCAAAAGTGTTGTAGTACATTTTGTCTATTTTTGAAGGTTTGTATTTTCGAAGCCTATGGTTGTAAATGTTCAGAACTATTCTGTGTGATCTTCAGCTTTATGCTTTGTTAAGTGCAGTGCTGGAGTCAGGCAGCAGACGCCTGCCAGACGAGCTGTGACTGCCCTCCGTGCAGAGACTCGGTTCCTTCTGCGCCCCATCCTAGGTGCTAACATTCTGGCTGCTTGGTAGCGGTGTCCCTACCCTGAGAAGGAGTAAAGAAGTGTTAGGAGTGTTTAATGCTAGGTGGTGAAGTGAATGGATTGCCTTTTCCTCCAAGACTTGAGGATTTGGCTTCCTTTCATTATGCCTGATTCCATGTCTCCTTTCCCAGTGATTCCAGAAATTATTGTGTCATACTAGATTGGAGAATGCTTGCTGCTCCAGAATGCCACCCAAGGGCCTCTCAGAAGGCTGAGCTGGCAGGTGGCAGGCACACCACAGCGTCCTGGGTGTGGTCTCAAGGGCAGAGGCAGGCTGTTAATTTTTGTGGTTTTTGGTGGTTTTGGCTTAGGGTAGATCTTCTAATGCACAGGCTTGATTAAAATGAATGAATGCATGGTGTAACAGATTCAGGTTGGTGCACACAGCAAGGTGAGGTTTTCCAATGGGAATGGTAGTAATCTAATGTTCCCTATTAATTATGGGTTCTCTAACTATTGTTTACTAATGCCCACACTCCACAGCAGGACAGGTACAGCGAGCAGAGACATCAGATAGTTTGATGTCCCTCCTGAGAGCTCTCTGTCCTCTGTGTCTGGCCGCTCATTGGCCTGCTTTCCCTAAGTCATTCTTGGGTTTCTTGCTCTTGCCCTTGCTTTTTTAGAAGATTTATTTATATGTTTGACAGGCCAAGTGAGAGAGAGAGAGAGAGGGAGACAGAGACGAAAGAGATCTTCCATCCTCAGGTTCATTCCCCCAAATGGCCGCAAGCGCCAAGGTTGGGCCAGACCCAAGCCAAGAGCTTGGAACTCCTTCAGGGTCTCCCACAAGTGGGTGGCCAGAAACCAAGTAGTGGGACATCCCTGCTTCTGGGTCTCTCTTTGCTGCTTTTAACGCATGCCAAACCCCTTTTCTCTTTGGTTTCTCTTTGCCACTCTTGGATGGAGAATACCATAGCCTAGATTTTAGGTATTTTCTATCCTTGGTTTACCCTGTCCATTAGAGGAGCCATCTTCTAGTAGTTTTTCACAAGTTTTTTTTTTTTGTGAATAATTCATTCATAGATAATTAATATGATATTTTCTTTTTGTCTGTTGTAATGCTAGGATTTCATTATGAGAGCATATCTCAGAATTGCTAGAAAAATTATTGTGGGACAACAAAAATGATTATGGGTAATTATTTTGCTTTCAAAGTTCTGGTAAGACTATCTAAGAAAGTGGCTCGGCCAGCACCATGGCTCAATAGGCTAATCCTCCACCTGCAGCAACGGCACCCCGGGTTCTAGTCCCGGTCAGGGCGCCAGATTCTGTCCCGGTTGCTCCTCTTCCAGGCCAGCTCTCTGCTGTGGCCCGGGAGTGCAGTGGAGGATGGCCCAGGTCCTTGGGCCCTACACCCGCATGGGAGACCAGGAGAAGCACCTGGCTCCTGGCTTCGGATTGGCGCAGTAGCGGCCACTTGGGGGGTGAACCATAGCAAAAGGAAGACCTTTCTCTCTGTCTCTGTCTCTCTCTCTCTCCCTCACTGTCTACGTCTGGCTGGCAAAAAAAAAAAAAAAAAAAGTGGCTCCAGGGATATATGTAGTTAATTCAGGGTTTTAGTTTTATAATTTATTATATATTATATATACTTAGATTTATTTATTTGAAAGAGTAACACAGAGAGAGAAGGAGAGGCTGAGAGAGAGAGAGAGAGAACTTCCATCCATTAATTCATTCCCAAATGGCTACAAAGGCCAGATCTGAGCCAATCTGAAGCCAGGAGCCAGAATCTTCTTCCAGGTTTCCAAGGACTTGAGCCATCCTCCACTGCTTTCCCAGGCCATAGCAGAGAGTTGGATTAGAAGTGGAGCAGCTGGGACTTGAACTGGTGCCCATATGGGATGCTGGCACTGCCGCTGGCGGCTTTACCCGCTGCGCCACAGCACCGGCCCCTATTATATATTCTTTATAACTATCAGGCAATGACAGTTAATGATTTTGAAAATATGATAAAGACCTACACTAACATTTTGTTTCCTAAATGTAGATCAATGCAAAGCATTATAATTTTATCAAACTTTATGATACATTTCTCACAAATGATAAGTCTGACGTTATTTGACTTTATGTTTTAATTACCAAAAGCCATGTCTTGAAAGGTGTCCACAGTCTCTGAAGGTAGTATGCTGGAATTTAAAGACACAGATGGATTGTTTTTAGAAGATGACTTGATTTAAAGGCGATCTAGGGTGCTCCCTGTGAGTCTCCCCCCGTTGGTTGTGGGCAGCAGTTCTTGCGCCCAGTCATCTCCTAGGGAGAGTTCAGGAAGATTTTGGGAGCAGAGGTGCCCAGGACCTCGGGTTCCCAGAGGCTCCGTGGGAAGAAAGCTGCCATTTATTTTGGAAAACAGGGCCTTGGAGCACAGCGAGCCCTGCCGCTGGTCCAGCCCTTCGTTTCTCCAGACATCAGAGAGAAGCAGCTGGCAGAGATGGTTCAAGAAGTTTGCTGACACCTAAAGATGCAGGTTGGAAATGGTAGTTCAGAAACGGTCTGGGGGAGAGAAAAAGAGAAAGGAAGTGGATGACCTGTGGAAACAGTCGAACAACTTTTCCTGGGATTTGCAGGTCGGTCACCGCAGTGTGTAAAACACACACACCCTGAGAGTTGTTACAAATGCCCTAACAATGAGAAGCATGTTAAGAGAGGTGGTGTGTGTTCAAGGCTTTTGAGAGCAGAACACTGCAAGTTGGGGCGACTAGAATCTTGTCCTGTCTCAGTCTGTAGGATGCCGTGGGCCTCCCAGCCCCCAGGCCATCTCCCTCAATGTTTTGCAGTTATGTTTTAAGTCATTTTGGTATAAATATTTCTGAATTTGCTAAGGGTTGCTGGTTAAGTGCAGCGGCGTGCTTTGGGGTGCCGTGTGTAGCTGTAACAGGGGTTTGGTTTAAGTTTGGAGATCGTCCTTACGTGCCCTCGGTGAAGTGCCTGTGTTTAGGTTTATGGGGGACATTGCCAGTGAATCGGTTTATTTGTTACTTGGTGGTGTACTTCTCGGCGTTTGAGAGTAATGAGGTAAATAGCTGTGAAATTCTCTTATTTGGGAGGCTAATTATGTGAAAACCATGGAGGTTTTGAGTGGTGCCCCTGGAAAGGGGTTTTTAACAAGTGTGGGTGGAACTGTGGTGCCGGCTGCAGCGCTGAAGTGGCGTCTGGCACCCTTCCTGAGAGCACGCCGCGAGCAGCAGCACCGTGTCTCTGTTCCCTCCCTGCTCGCCTGCCGGGCGTGCGTGCGTGCGGCTCGCGCTGCGGCTGTGCGGAGCCTCCCGTTCAGTCTGCAGTGGAGAAGCGCCGGGCTGGGCGTCCGGCGGCAGTCAGTGGTGTGGCAAGGTTGCAGTAAACAGAAGTGACCGGGCTTCACCAGCCGAGCCCGAGGGCGTTCCGAACAGCTTTCCCCCTCCACTGATGAATTCCGCTTTCTGTTTCCTTCTAGAGAGATGTGGATAATTTGCCCAGCCTCCAGCGTCTGTTCCTCAGCTTCAACAATATATCCAGGTGAGTGCAAAGTCCCCGCTTGTCGTTTATTAATAAGGTTGCTCGGCTCTCAGCTGAGGTGGTGCATACCGGGGAGAGTTTTACTGACCTGGAAGATTTTCAATTGGAAAACGACAGGACAGTCCTCTGACAAAGTTCTTTGCAGAAAATTGTTGCCTCTAGTGCCGGAATGATGAGGTGAGTGCTGCATGTGCTTCTATCTGACTGCACTGCAGGGTGTCTCTTTTGTCAGACGTGCTCCTGGAGGTTGCAGCATGCATTTTGCTGTCCTTTGTTTGACATTGACTGCCACTAGTGAGTTCAGTTAAGATTTCTTTGATAAATACTCGTCTGGAATTTGCGTGGCTACTAAGCGGTTTTGATAAAGCAGCCTGCGTCTGTCACTGAGCTGCCTGCTGATCAGGCCGTAGCTGCCTTCTCACTTGTACCCTACTTAGATCATGCTGCTGAGAGATGGTGGGTTAGGGGATGCAGACTGAATCTTGCTTTCCACGGGTTCAAGGTACGCCAGCCTGGTGCTGCAGTGCCGTCTCTGGGAGCGCAGGAGGTCTTAGCTCTGGGTGAGACGGCAGTGTGACTCACGCTGAAGGACACTGTCCCTTCTCCTTCCGGCCGTCGGTCTGGACTGGGCCTTGTGCCTCCTCACTTGTGTGCTTTGACTTCAGGCTTGTCTTTGATTCTGCTTTTATAAGAGGATACAAGTTAAGTGTAAAAGGATTTAGAGCATATCTTTTCCTGAACACCAGGTCTGTGCCTCTGATTATTACAAACCACCTTGTTCTTAGCGGATTTTCTGTTTGCATCGCTTTCCTCCTCCATCAGACTGACGTGTTAACCCCTTCCTCCTGTACTGTGTCTCTAAGAGATAGCGTTTTTCTCAAGTTTATCCAAAGTGGGGAGCTTTGTATAGAGGCAGTACTTCAAAGAAAGTATCTTTAATCTTTATTTTTGTTCTTCTTCTGAGGATAATGTTGGAGATTTCAGATGGACGTTTCCTGTCTCCGGTCTCGGTCTCCGCTGAATGTGGCGCTCTTGCTTCTGTCTGCCTCGTTGGGGAGGCCTCTTCTCTGTGGCAGTGGAAGGGGCACCCAGCTTTCTGCAGGCCATTCCTCCCTCAGGGCCACTTGCAACTCTCTCTCTCTCTCTCTCTAAAAGATTTATTTTATTTGAAAGGTAGAGTTGCAGAGAGAGAGAGAGTATGTTAGAGAGAGAGAGCTTCTACCCACTGGTTCACTCCCCGAATGGCCACAACCACCAGAGTTGGGCCGATCCAAAGTCAGGAGCCAGGAGATTGTTCTGGATCTCCCATGTGGGTGCAGGGGCCCAAGCACTTGGGCATCTTCTACTGCTTTCCCAGATGCATTAGCAGAGGGAGCGGGACTGGAAGTGGAGCAGCCAGGACTCAAAGCAGTGCCCATTAGGGATGCTGGCGCTGCAGGCGGTTGCGACTCCTGGGAGAAGACAGTCTCTCACAACACGTGCAGCTGCTTCAGCTGCTGCAAACCCTGAGACTCCCTCAGCTTGTGGAGGATCTCTTCCCTTGCTTCTTGTCTTGTTTATGGGGAGCAATTTAAAGAGACACGTAAATGTATGTGTCTAGGAGTTGTGATGTTCCCAGGTGCCCAGGATACCTGAGCTTCTAAACTCCCGGCTCTGTGGGGAAATGAGTTTGGTTGCTTGTGCTTGGGAAATTTTCTTTCCAGTCTGGAAGAGTTTTGCCCATTCAGCGAAATAAAAGGATTTGTATAATGATTAATGGAATTATTTTATTTATAATCTTCTTTTAAAGGCATGATTTATAAAGGCACTGAGAAAAAAAGTGAGTCAGCAGTTTCCAGACATTGATTCTCTTATTGATCACACTGTCTGTTTCTGCATAGGCCCAGCCCCGTGTATTCTAGCTGTTTCTAGCTGGTCTGCTTTTGAGGCACAGAAGTTTTTTTGTTCTGTTCTTGTTGAATCATGCGGTCCCAGAAGTGCTACAGTGAATATATTGAGTCTAAGGGGAGGTCAGAGAGACAGAGAGATGTCTTCCAACCTCTGGTTCACTCCAAAATGCCTACAACTGATGGGGTCGGGGCAGGCCAAAGCCTGGTTCTCTGAACCCCAACTGACCTCCTGCGTAGTGGCAGGGACACAGTACTTGAGTCATCAACTACTGCCTCATGGAGGCCCTCGGCAGGAAGCTGGAATGGAAGAAGAGCCAGAATTTGAACCTGGCACTTGACATGGGGTCCAGCTGTCCTAATGGCTGCGCCAGATGCCTCCTCCCATTTCTGTGAACTTTACTCATGGCACAAATATCCCAGCTTGCCAGGTTATCAGGTGGCCTGCGGCTAGAACTGTAGTGTATTTTAGGCCCTTGCTGCGTCCTGCCATAATAGATTTGCCAAGCTCAGTGGCCTGGGGGTGAGATCCATCAAGAAGAGCAGAATCAGCCATGGAAAGCCTGAAGTTGGTCCCTCTGCGGAACCTCAGATAGAGTCAGCAAGTGAGAGTGTGTGACTCCACAGACATTCTGAGGGGAACAGAAATATTGAGTGTTTTGTTGTAGGAGGTTTTGAACAAGCTGTTGGATTCTTAGATCTATTTGCATCAACTATTAGGCATATGGTAGACATTGAGAGAGATCCAAGAAGTTGAGAATTCCACATCCTGTGGAATTTGTGGAGCTCCGGCAGGAGATGGAATGGTACACATGTAGACACATGGTAGACCACCCTTTTTGTATGCTTCCTACAGATACTAGGACAGTGCATTTAGTAGGCGTGCAGGATGATTTAGAAACTGAACAGCCACTCCCTGTCTGTGTACTTCAGTAGAACCAGTGCTCCTGGTTGGCCATCCCTCAGCGCATTCACAATGTCATGAGGAAGATAGGGACACAAAGAGGTAATAACGATACGGTGCATTAAAATGACTCGCGGTGGGGGCCAGCACTGTGGCTCAGCGGGTAAAGCCACAGCCCATATGGACACCGGTTCGAGTCCCAGATGCTCCACTTTCAATCCAGCTCCCTGCTAATGCACCTGGGAAAGCCTTGGGTGACAGCCTGAGTCCTTGGGCTCCTGCACCCATGTGAGAGACCCAGAAGCTCCTGGCTGCTGGCTTCAGCTTGGCCCAGCCCCAGTCATTGCGGCCATTTGTGAAGTGAACCAGTGGGTGGGAGATTCCCTCTGTCTCTACTTCTCCCTCTCTTTAACTCTGCCTATCATATAAATAAGTAAGTCTTTAACAAAATAATCACTCACAGTGATGTGCAGGATGTTAGGAGAGCACAGTGGGGATGTGAGGCAGCCTGGGGGAGGAGTCACGGAAGCGTTCCCAAAGGAAGGGAACTCGGGCTGAGCTCCAAGTAGAGACCAGGCTGTAGCAGACTGGAGGGTCCTTGCAACATCCTGGGTGGGGAACCAACGTGGGCAAAGTTTGATGTGGAGTCGGGCGAGGAAGGGGACGTCAGGGTAGACTCACTGGGCCCAACCCCTGAGGTCCACTCACCTGCAGGGAGAGCCTGGCCCTGCCCGTGCCCATCCCACACTGCCCTGGGCCCTCCCCTGGCCTGTAGAGTGCGGAGGGTCCTGCCAAGCACACTTCATGAGGAGCACCTGGGAGAAGGAGGCTGATTGGCTCGAGCAGGGCAGTTGGGTGTGATTCACCCTGAGGACGCCATGCCTTTATGCCGACCTTCCTTTACGCTGCTGTGTGGCTCGGTGCTCTGTTTTGTTTTCCTTGGCCTCACAGTTTTCATTTCCATGTAGCCCGATTTTGCCTTTTTTTCTTTTTGTTTTATTTTTGGGTTCTAGAATTTACTTTTATGCTTGGAATTAGTACCTATTGTTTGTTTTTTTAAAAAAGATTTATTTATTTATTTGAAAGTCAGAGTTCCACAGAGAGAGGAGAGGCAGAGAGAGAGAGAGAGAGAGAGAGAGAGAGAGAGAAGTCTTCCATCCAATGGTTCACTCCCCAATTGGCTGCAACCGCTGGAGATGCGCCAATCTGAAGCCAGGAGCCAGGAGCTTCTTCCGGGTCTCCCATGTGGGTGCAGGGGCCCAAGGCCTTGGGCCATATTCTACTGCTGTCCCAGGCCAAGCAGAGCTGGATTGGAAGAGGATCAGCCGGGTCTCAAACCGGTGCCCATGTGGGATGTTGGTGCTTCAGGCCAGGGCGTTAACCCACTGTGCCATAGTGCCAGCCCCATGTTGTTTGTTCTTCAAGCCAACAAAACTGCTTGTTCTTTCTTTATATCTGTGATTTTCTGGCTGGCCATTCATATTAATGAAGGTCTTGGTAGAGTTGTTCCCTTGACGTAAGTATAAATGCTGCCATGAGGGCAAATTTTGAGCACAGGCTCTCTGTCTGCAGGAAGGGTAGCTGCAGGCATGGACTTTGCTGCTGTGGGATGTGCACACGGGGAAACCTGCCTTCTGGGACTGGCTCATCTTGTCCATCCCGACAGCCAGAACTTCCCTCGAGCACTGCCCCTCTTCTCTTTCCATTCTCACTCGGAGAATGAGAGGTAGCCAGTTGTTAGCAGACCCTTCAGTGCCTGCCTGGACAGCCCGCCCACCGCGGCCCCGCACCCTTGCTGGTTCTCAGGAGTCTCTCAGGGACTCCTCCCAGGCCCGTCTGGCGCACGCGCTCCCAGGGGACGAGTCCTGTCCATTACTGGTGCCCGAGCGGCTCATGGGTTTACTGAGTCCCTCTATATCTTCCAGAAATTCCAGAACCCCTCAGTGTCAGGTTTACCGGGGGACTCCTCCTGGGGTTCTGGTGCTGCTGAGAATATTGTCACACTTTTATTTCCAGTCACTTCACAGAGATTTTGAGAGGATGGAGAGTGGTAAGAACATGCGCACAGGGGCTAGCGCTGTGCCACGTGGGTTAACGCCCTAGCCTGCAGCGCCGGCATCCCATATGGGCACCGGTACTAGTCCCGGCTGCTCCTCTTCTGACCCAGCTCTCTGCAATGGCCTAGGAAAGCAGTGGAAGATGGCCCAAGT